TTCATTCGCAATCTCACTTGCTTTAGCACTGAGAGCAAATTGCTTTCTAAGGAAGAAACTATCAAGGACACAGCTGAGGAACACCCACAGGAGGAAGCAAAGCCCACATTTCAAAGGTATTTTCAACAAGTCTGGTAGTTTATTTAGCCCAGAAATGTCTTAGCGATTTGAACTCTTCAAATAAAACGTTATATAAACAAAATTTACTTCCAGATGGTGGAATTTACGGAGAAAAGAATTTAAAGAAAAGCGGTTTGAAGAGTTGCAGTCTGTATTCTTGGCAAAAGACCCTCACATTTTTATTTAGGAAACGAAGATGTTTTTGAATTGCAAAAACACATAAGAGCATCTGAAAGCAGTCAACCTCCTTGTTGTTTCCATCCTATTCCTCAGCAAGCTTAATTGTTTTCACATTTATAAACAATTTTAAATTGAAATGCATTTTATCCTCAGCATTTTTCATCTGAGATCTCCATTCCTACTAATGTTTCCAAAGTAAGGAGAGTAATCTTGGAGTATTTCCTGTGTGAGGACTTCAAAGATTGAGTGGTTGAGAAGAGGAAGTAGGGAGCAATAGACTGGCCCCTTCCAGCAACCATGACACTCTTGCCTAAGGACTCAAGTTCTTCTTTCTCCTACTTTCAGTTCAGACATGAGTGTCTGTGGGCTGATGTGGTACAGACTGAAAGATTAGGCTCCAGCTCCATAATTAATAGGAGTGTGAAGTCTGTGGGGAATGCAAAATCTGATTGATTGTTCATTTAATGAACCAGTCTCTTTGTGTTCCTCTTCCTGCTTTAAAAAAAAACCCAGTATTTTTATTTTTCATAAATATTTTAGATACAAACAATTCTGTTTCCTCAGACTTTTATAAACACCCCCACTCCCTTCCTCTTTTAAGATATCCAAATATGTCCATTTTTTTCTCTAAGGGATGCCAAAACAACTAAATTTTGCATAAAATAAAATTTCCCTTGTCAATTCTATTTGCCACCACTGTATCCAAATCTCAATATTAATTTATTAATATGTATAAATATGTATGTGCATGCACAACACACAGTTGTTTTCCCCCTTCTCTGTTATCTTAAATTAGCTAGAAATGTTACTTTAGGTTTGCCCAGAAGGTCTTTGGAATTTTTTTGATTGTATTGATTAACTTAAGGGTGCTCAGGTCTGCAGGCCATCCTGCAATCTGTGCCGTTGTTACTTATATCAGTGTACTTGCACTCCTAGAGATACCCAACCCAGTCTCTTGGGATTTTAAGGTAAGGTAATGGGTGTAGGATGAACCAAGGTCTACCTACATGCTATAAAGCACATTTTGAGCTCCACTTAACATTTTCCCATTTAATCCTTATAAAAGCTGGTGAAGTAAGCATTACCAGCTCTTTGTACCTCCATGGAAGCCAAGGCTTAGGGAGTCTGGGCTAGTTAGGTTAGAGTTGAAGTTTCACACTTTGAGGAGGAAAACCTCTTTATTAAGTTGGCCTTTTCACAGTGCCTGGAGTCACCAGTCATTTATAAGGCACAAACAAGTTTTAGTTTTGTCTTCGAGACTTGCCGAGGTTGGATGGAGAACGAAGAGAAAGCTCCACAACAGGGAACTAAAACGTTTCAGCTTCGTGCTCTTCCAGGGAGAATGCCCTGCAGGCTGGAGTTGTGGGTAGGGCCATAGGCAACTTTCCAGTCACTTGTGGGTCCAGGGGAAACTGGGTGTTGCCTCATCTGCCGTCAGCAGGACATCTGGGACAAGTTGTCTCAGTGCTGCAATGGCTACAACATGGCCCAGGTGTCCATTGCCCCAGGCTGTTACACAGAGGCCATCTGGGTCCTCTTTTTCTCAGGGGTCAATTGGGTGGAGTTGGAACTTTTCCTAAGGGTTGGCAGACACTTGGCTGGGCTACTTGGCAACACTAACCCTCTTTAAGACACACACATACATCTTTAAAAATTAGTCAAACTCTTACATGTCAAACATGGCTTTTGTACTTAAATGCAAGTTTTGCATGAGAAACCACATGTATCATCTGCTTTACTTTTTTAAATATTTATTTTTTAGTTGTAGCTGGACATAATACCTTTATTTTGTTTCTTTATTTTTATGTGGTGCTGAGGATGGAACCCAGGGCCTCACACATGCTAGGCGAGTGCTCTACCACTGAGCACAACCCCAGCCCTCATCTGCTCTATTTTTAAGGCTTGAAGGCTTTAACTAAATTAGGAGACAAACTGATGAGCAAAGAAAGCAATTCTCACTAAAAAGTAACATTGTTGGGGGAAATTCAGGTCCCCCTAAAGAGTTAGCCTAGAAACCCCTCCTAATAGATGAGTTACAACCCCAGAATTAGGATACAAACTCACCACCTGTGCAGAGTTCTCCCCATTTCCTCAGGGTACAAGCCAAGGGTCATTCCACTAGAAGAATTGTCTAGAGAGATGATGGCCTCTTTGATCACAGTAAAGAGCTTTATGGCAAAGGGGTAGAAAAAATACATTGTAGAAATACTAAATTGAATGTGTGAACCGTTTGATATATACCAAAATTGTTTTTTTTTTTTTTTTTGTCTCTTTTTTGGTGATCACAGTAACTCGCAAGCCATCCTCTTGTGTTGTATTTTTATGAATTTAGTTGTTCCAGGTTGTCTTTGTTTTGTTAGTACATCCTCACTCCACGGTATAAACTTACTCAGCTGACCTGCATGTTAGCTGAAGTCACATTGTGTTTGAACATTCTCTCCAAGGTTGAAGCAGGGGGAAGAATCAGGGTAGAAATTGATCGTTGAAGGCCCTTTTGCAATTTCTACTTTCCTAAGACAGAATATCCTTCTTTCCCCAGCTACCGATAACCTTTATTTAGAACAGAGTAAATCACTGGACTCAAAATTTATGTTCTACACTAAAATCTGCTGGCAAACTACTTGTCTTTGCTCCAAGTGTCACTATTCATTGTGTAAATGCAGTGCCCTCAAATAATTCCACATCTTACTGATGGCCTCTCACTGACCCCAGGTCCTCAGTGGGTGTTTTTGAGTAACATATTGTTCGTGGTCACACAGATCACCTCTGACATTCACAGATGTATGATTGCTCAGTTGCTGGAATCTTGTTGAGAGTCAAATAAATGCATTAGATTATGGGTTTTGTTTGTTGTTCTTGGCCTCCTCCCCTTTTTTTGTACTTAGAAATTATTTAGGGATTTTTAAGTATTTCACAGATGCAACTTTGGCATTCTCATGGTTCTGGAATTACAAATTAGAATTTCATGCCTTCTTTACAGCTGGGATGGAGAAGGAAGACATTGAACCTCTGGCATTCAGAGTTTTTCTATCTTCCCCCTGTGCTGAAATGAAGTCAAAGTATGTAGCAGTGGCTCTTGGATTAGGAGCAGCAGGAGGGACAGAAACCTGGGTCCTGGAAGTGAGAGTTGGTGAACGTTTCTGCTTACCTTCTCTCCTGGCCAACCTGGAAAATTGTGCATTGGTCTGTCTACCCCAGCTCATTGATACAAGTCTTGGTGACCAGGCCCTAGGGCTTATGCATATGGTGGGCTCTTTGGATTTTGCAATCTTCCTGCCACCCTTATAGGGAGGGAGGAGTCAAATGGAGTTTAAAGCATGTCTTTCTCTATCTTTAAAGGAGAGGCATGTCCCTTCATTTTGTCTGTTGTCATATCAGTCCCAGACAAAGTCAGAATTCTTGAGGCCTTAGCTTTAAACATTGGACTTCCCCTTACCCACCCTATAATTGAATCCTCTGAATAGTAATAAGACCTGAAATTCAAACCTGTGGAACTGGGTTCTGCCTGTATGCCTACTTGTTCAGAACAGCAGAGACTTTTAGAACTTTTGTTAAGTTCCAGTATTTGTTTAGGATTAAGACTTTCTTATTATTCAGTAGCTGTGACCACTTTTAATCACAGTTTGTAGTAGTACAAATATGTCACTTGGTGTTTTGAACGGGGAGGCCTAGTGGTAAATGCTTTAGTTTCAGGAGACAAAGAGCCAGCTCTGGATACTCCTAAGCAAAACTGAGAAGTAGGAGACTTTCTCATGGCCAACCCATTCCTCTATCAATCAATGTCTGTCTTCTCTCTCATTATTGATTACTAAACTTTACCCTGGCGACCATTCATTGATTAGGGTTGGGCATAGTTGCATGTTATATTCCCCATATCAGGCTTAGAAGCTCTTTTATTCTCCCCACTTCACATGTGAGGAAAGAGGGCACTGAGGCTTTCGGGGTGAAATTTCTGCTAACAATCTCAGAACCAGAAAAAGGCAGAGCTGGCTTTGCCCAAGTGAAGTGCACAACCTTCTTGGCTTATTCTTCCCCACCCCCATCATAGCAGCATTTCAAAGAAAAAAGTAAACTGATACTTTGAGCCAACATAACAAAGCTTATTAAGGATTTTATGAGACAACTGCTTAAATTGAATGTAAGCACTTCACCTTTACTTCCACAGATATTTGTATTTAAATAAGACTCAAAAACAAAAACAGCAATAGAGATGTGACTCAGGGGTAGGACTATCATTCAAGCAGGAGCTACCAACTATCCCTCCAATTGTTCTAGGGTTGTGGCTCTTGCTGAAATACTGAGCCCTACACAGCACAGCTTTACGCACACAGCAGACACTTAATTATTGCTGATTTTAATCAGCTGGTTTTAATTCAACTCACATTCTCATTAAGTGTAAGAAGAGCACAAGAAAAGCCGCTTTGATTAACTTTAGTTTATTCTATCGACAAAACCTCGGCTTTACCCACCATCTCTTTATATTTGAAATACCCACTGTTCAGAGGTCAGGTTCTTGTTTTTGTTTTTTACGACACATAGATTATGCTTTGAAAAAAATTTTTAATAGTGTTGTCTAGTTCATGAAAATTTATGTTTGACTTTATTTATCTGTCTCTGAATTGAGGTGAGCTCTCCATGTTGAATTTGATTGAAAAGCCTTCATAATGTTTTGTCTTATCTGTCCTTGGGATCCATTTTAGCACAAACATACTTTTGGATGATCAGTTTCAAGCCAAACTAACTGATTTTGCCATGGCACACTTCCGACCCCACCCAGAGAATCAGATTTCTACCATAAATGTGACCAACAGCAGCAGGAAACATCTGTGGTACATGCCAGAAGAGTATATCAGACAAGGAAAGCTTTCCATTAAAACAGACACCTACAGCTTTGGAATTGTAAGTGTACACTGCTGGCTAATAAGCAGGGGAGAGTTTATTGCCAAGAATGTTCTAAATTCTAAAGAGAAATTTTAATTAATTATTATTTTAAATGTTAGCTCGTATTAGTTATACATATTAATGGGTTTCACTGTGATATTTCCATATATGCATAGGTCATGTTTGAATTGTATCCATCCTTCCTACAACCCTCTCTATTCCCTGCTCGTGTCCCCATCCCCTTCCCTAATGGTTCCTCTAAGAAGAAACTTTATAAAAGTTTTAACTTGGGCTGGGGATGTGGCTCAAGCGGTAGCGCGCTCGCCTGGCATGCATGCGGCCCGGGTTCGATCCTCAGCACCACATACCAACAAAGATGTTGTGTCCGCCGAGAACTAAAAAATAAATAATATTAAATTCTCTCTCTCTCTCCTCTCTCACTCTCTCTTTAAAAAAAAAAAAGTTTTAACTTTTTGACTTATTGATTTCTGCCACTCATTATCTAATATATCAATTTGTGTCATCAATGAAGTAATAAAATATAAAGGCATTGATTAGAAAGAACTATATTCATTGTCATGGTTAATAGGTGCAACAAATGTTGTCGATGCATTCAACATATGTAGCTGACTTTCTATATGTTTCTCATAGGTAATAATGGAAGTTTTGACAGGCTGTAAAGTGGTGTTAGATGATCCCAAACATGTTCAACTGGTAAGAACTGTCTTTTTGTTGACACCCATTTTCTCATTTTTTGACCCACTTGTATGTAATAAGATTTTCTCCTCCTCTTCCTAGCGGGATCTCCTTATGGAACTGATAGAGAAGAGAGGCCTCGATTCATGCCTCTCATTTCTAGATAAGAAAGTACGTCCCTGTCCTCGGAACTTCTCTGCCAAGCTCTTCTCTTTGGCAGCCCAGTGTGCCACAACTCGGGCAAAGTCAAGACCATCTATGGATGAAGTGCGTATTTATGTGGTTTTATTCAAAATGGAGCCATGCAATATCTATGTTGGATAAGTGGTGTTTCTGGGTGAATTATTTATCAGTGAGACAAATTAAGCTTTCAACAGAAAATGCCAACCTAATAGATATTCCTTTCTAGATCAAAAGTTATATGATTTGGTACTCTGGTAGAGGTCATTATTGAGTAGAACCAGAGCATCACAAAAAAATATAGTGAAATGTAGCTTGGAAGGAATACTTATTCAGCATTTATTAAGATATCTGGCCCATTAAAATGCAACATGTATTTCCCCTTTTCATTTTAAAATTCACTCTTTTGTCCATAGGTGTAGTCATGCATTCACTGATTTGTTTATTTGCGTGTAAACAAACACTTATTGTATTTGGTGCTAAAGATACAACAGTGTTCACTATACAGTGTCAACCCTCAAACTGCAAATAAGGAGTCAGATGAGTAACTTGGGATATTGGTCCAGCAAGATGGAAGCCCAGGCTGATGAGATCGTAGAGTCAGAATATACTAGCCTATGGTAATCAAGGGAGCCTCTTGGTGGAGGTGACCGTTTAGCTATGATGTGGACAGCAGGTTGGATAGAGACAGCAGTAAGGATGGAAGGACATTGCAGAGAGAGTCGCCAGTGTGGGCTCCAGGTGGTGGAGGCTGGCATTAAGACCACAGGTAGGACAGCATCATGGATGTGAGGTGGGGGTGAGGGAAGCCCACAGTACTTAAAATATCAGAGACTTCTGGGTAATAGAGGGACATGGATTCCATTTTGAGAGTTTGGGTTTTATTCCAAGTCATTGTAGAGCCAAGGACAGGTTTTAAACAAGGACTCAACATAATAAAAATGGAGTGGGAATCAGGAGAGCATATTCCAGGCTGACACCACTAGGAAGAGCTGTGTGGGGACCTGGGCCCAGAAAGGAGCTATGAACTATGGCTTTGGAATGGAATTGAGAGCCAGGAGAAGGCTCCTCCTTACTTGCTGGTGATATTTATTCATTTTACTGAGTTTCAGCTTTATTATCTATAAACTCAGAATGAGCATTTTATTATTTGTTAATAAACAGCATTATTATATTATTATTTGAGTGTGTTAAATGAGAAAATATATGTGAAAAGACTTTACTAATTGTAAACCTATATGCATTTTTAAAGAGAGAAAGAGGAAGAGAGAGATTTATATTAGGTCAAGGGTCTCAAATCTTCCCACACATTCAGATCATCTAGGAAGCTTTTATAATGCACATCCATGGACCCTGGTCTCCTTATTTTTTTGAATGATAATCTGTAGATTGGAGCTAGCGGGTGAGGGGATCTGTTTTCAAAAAGTTCTGTGGGCATTTTGGCATTTGAGAACTACTAATGGATTACCTCCCTTATGTTTGAAGTCAGACATGTAAAGACTCACCCAAGGCCACAAAGCTAGCTGTTGGAAATCTAGAACTAAAGTTGGGTCTCATGATGTTTAATTCAATGCAGTTTCTTTTATATCTTGCTTCTTGAGAATGAAGATGAAGGGGTGTCTCTAATCTTTAAGATCCCTTCTAATGCAAATTCAGTAATTAAACTTATGAAAATGAGAAAATATTCTATAATTGAAAAAAAGGCAAGAAGGGATATTTTTCAAGCCTAACTCAATGTTCGTTTGTTCTTCATTAATTAGGTCCTGAATGTTCTTGAAAGTTCGCAGGCCAGCTTATATTTTACAGAAGATCCTCCCACATCCCTGAAATCCTTCAGGTGTCCTTCTCCTCTATTCTTGAATAACGTACCAAGTATCCCAGTGGAAGATGACGAAAGCCAGAATAATCATTTGCCACCTTGTGATGAAGGTTTGAGGACAGATGGACCGACTCAGAAAATTCCCTTTGAATGCAGCCAGTCTGAGGTCACATTTCTGGGCTTGGACAGAAAGAGAGGCAGTGAGAGAAATGAGGATGCTTACAACAAGCCCAGTTCTTGTGAAGAAAGTCTGTCTCCAAAGCATGCAGCTTCATCCCAGGGCTTCAAGGCCACTGAGGTGAATTTGGACTCCTTTTTAGAAGACCCAGGCCATCCTTCCAGCAGCAGGCTAGTGGAGCCAGGGTGCTCCTCTGAATTTTTCTGTAATAAATATGAACCATACAAAAAGGATGAAAGTTCACCAGAAGGTAAAGAAAAAAGCAAGTATTTCTGAGACACTTGAGCAAAGGTACTGCCTTGGGAAGACATCATCTCCTTGAGTTAGGCCCAGAGAATGGCTGGTGGTGAATTTGGGGTAATACAGATAAACATTCTGGACAATTCTATTCCTTCCTTCTCAAACCCCCAAAACGGAGAGGCTTAAACAAATGTTTCCTCAGAGTAATTACCTCATGATCAAACCCAAACTAAATTAGAGCCATTCAAAATTATTCAACATCCTTGGTCTGACTTCAGCAAAACAAAACAGTTTAAACTTACCAAAGAGGGACAAGATTCTCATGTCTTCTCTGTCGAAGTGAGTCTGGGGAACCTCCCTCTGCAAAGGACTTTCAGTTGCATTCTGTTGTTTGGTTTAGCTTACTTAGGAGGGTAGCAGGAAATGTCTAATTTGTCAATGTACTTTGTGATCAACTGTAGTGTTTTTCTGTTCATCACTGTCTAAAAACAAGCCAAGCTCACCGTTGGCCAGGGTGTGCTCTATGTGACAAGATTCCTGCCCAAGATCTATATTTCTATATTTAAACTCTTAAGGTAGCCTATTCTATATAATCTAATTGTTGATTATTCTTATAGATTTTTACTAACTCAGAGACCTGTCATATCTTGAGCAGAATATGTGATATTTTAATCAAATAATTTTTGTTCCAGAAAATGACTGGTCGGCAGTGTAGGTCAGCTTTTGATTGATACTATTTGTGCCTTCCACCCTGTGTCTCCCCTCTTGACTGTTTCCTGGAGCTCCTCTTTTGATGTCCTAGCCAGTTATTAGGCTCTGCAAAACTGTCATCCTCCAAAAAACCTCCCAAATCTCTCCAACCGAGGGACTCACTTTACCAGCATTTCCATAGCAATTTCTTTGAATTTCTCTTTTATGCTTGTCACGTTCCAAAATGTATCAAAATCAATCTTATCTCTGTTCCTAGATTGCTAGCTCCCTTTGTTTTCTGTTGTCACTGTAACAGGATATCACAAATTTAGTAGCATTAATTATTTTACAGTTCTGCAGGTCAGAAGTCCTTGGCAAACCTTCTGGCGCCTCTAGGGGACCCTGTTGCCTCTGCTAGCTTTTTGAGGCCACCTGTATTCCTTGGCTCAGGGTCTTTTTCTCCGTCTTCGAGGTCACCAATGTAGCATCTTCAAACCTCTCTTTCTCCTCACCCCATCACTTCCCCTCATGCTCTCTCTCTCTTTCTTAATTCTTCTTTATTACCTTTTTCTTGCTCTGGCCCTTCTGCCTCTCTCTTATAAAAACCCTGTTATTGCATTGGGCCTACTCAGATAATCCAGGGAAATTTCCTTGTCTCAAGATTCTTAAATTAATTGCATCTACAAATCCTCTTCCTCATGTAAAACAACATATTCACAGATCACTAGGATTAGGACATGGACGTCTCTGTGGGGGCATTGCCCTATCACACTCCCTGAGTGTGTAAGGGTGACCTCCTCAGAACTTAGCATCAGCCTCCTCAGAGCGGGTATATTCTTTAAAAAAAAAAATATCTATCTATCTATCTATCTATCTATATATATATATATGATTTTTTTAGATGTGGTTGGACATAATACCTTTTATTTTATTTTATTTTTTATGTGGTGCTGAGCATTGAACCCAGGCCCCTGCACGTGCTAGGCGAGCACTATACCACTGAGCCACAACCCCATCCTGCGGGTATATTCTTATAAATTAAGTTGAATCAAACTATATATATATGAACTCACATAATAAATAATTCAACTATAATTAACCTTTCTGAGTAAATTAATGAAGTAGGAATAATGAATAATGGATAGAAACATTCAAAGAAAACCTTTTCCAGAGGATTTACAGAATCTCCCCGTCCAAGAACCTTGCTGTAAAAGCTCTAGCTTTCTGTGTCAGGAATGGAACTGTGAATTTTACTCTTTGGAGAGACAGTGCAGTTGGGTTAATCATACTCAGATTGGAACCCGAGTTCAAGAATAGCTAATCACAGAAGAAAATCATCAGGAACAGGGTCAGGAAAATAGACTAAGGTCAAAAATATGGAGTTAAATTTCTCTAAAAGGGCATGAACTGAGGTTAAAAAATACAGTAGAACTTAGCCTGACTGACAGGTCGAATGCAAGCCCCAGGTAAGCAGTCAGGAGCATCAACGTTCACAGGCTGCAGGACACCTGGTCTGCAGGTGCTGTCTTCTCATGTAATCAGCACATATGTGTTCATACTGCTTTGGAACTGCCCACATGTTGACTAAAAACTTTAATTCTTTTGCCTTGTTTGAGTTTGGCCACTCTTGATTATACATGCTAATGAAACGAAGCAGCCAAAGTCTTCAGCATTTGGCTCACATGTTGCAAACCATTCTGAGGCAATGTACTCCATCTCAGAGATGTAGTTTGAAAGTGTATCGACTAAACTGAGAAAATTAGCCTGCAGTTGGTAGAGTGCTTGTCTTGCATGCACAACACCCTGGGTTCAATCCCTAGGACCACATACACCAAAAAAAAAAAAAAAAAAAAAAAGAGAGAGAGAGAGAAAAAATTAGCCTGGAATCATGTAAAATTGCCATTAATAATCCAAAATCAATAATTGATATGTTAATTTTTTTACTTTGAATCTGCAGACACCCCCTGTATCTTTTGTGAAATGTCATTAAAAAGCTCTGATTAACACCAGGCTTGTACAATTACTCAGCATTCACATAATCTGTAGGCATTGTATTGACTTGAACTTGTTTAGTTGACTGAAGCAGGGTTTCTCAGACTTCAGTGTGCATCAGAATGACATGGAAGTCTTGATAAAGCCATGCCCTCACCATCTTCTAAGACATTTTGTCTGGGGTTAGGAGTTTGCATTCTAACAGCTTCCCAGGAGACGTTGATCCTGCTGATAGGAATTCTGCTCCTTGGAAATCACTGCATTAAACTTTTCTCCAATTATTATACATTGGCATATTCTAACTGTGGATCTTAGTTTGGTTTCATGAGAAAAAAATTCTTTTTTTTTATATTCACATATTACCTAGGATGTTGGCTAGCTTAGAGTAGAGGCTAGAAATATGGTGGACCAGTGATTTTATTGACTAGATTAAATTTCAAAAGTGTGATTATTTTGCACATCTTGAAGACCAAGTCAGATTATCTGGCAGTGATCTGATTAATGATCTGAGGAGCAGATGCAACTGTGGTCGAAAAGTACCTAAGTCTCCTATTGAATGGTTCAGTCTTCCTGACTAGATTTGCCTTCTAGGGGGAAGAATTAATGAATGTTAATTGATAGTAATTAAATCTTGCATCTTGCTATGGGTCATCAGAGGATACCTCCATGGTTTACTTACGTGCAGACTAAGTTACATGAAGACACTAAGAATGAGCCTCCAAGTTCTGAGCAGCAAAGATGAATTTCAGTAAAGAATTTTACCTATCCTCATTCTGGTAACATACTGTGGACAATCTTCTGGGCAGATCCTATTTACTATGCTTCTTAGGGTTTTGGTCCCATTTTATAATGCCCCAAAAGATGGAGAAAATATTCTGTTGTTTTGAAAATGGGTATGGGATTTCTGACATAATCAATTTTATCGACTTCTCGAGAGTCATAATGATCTGTGATTCGCTGCATAATAGTGTAGTTTTATGAGGTTGTACATCAGCCTGTGTCAGACAACTTTTAAGACTTGTGGCCCAATGAGAATAGGAAGTGAGGTTTATCATGGGTAGCATTTACCAAGCATTCATTAGAATCAAAGTACTGTGTTAGCTGCTTAGGTTACAACAAACAATTTAGTAAGGAAATGAAGGACAGCTACCCAAGTTACCTGCTCAGTGACCAGTGTTATTGGAAACATACATCAGTGGAACTCAAAGCTAAAGCTGAAAGGGGAGATGAAGAATAGATTACTGTGTACTTTCAAGGGAGTGAAGAAGGCTTCTTGGAATAGTTTCCTGAAAAGAGGGGAAGGTCTAAGAAAGGGTCACTGAAGAAGCACCCCAGGAACAGGGGCCCCCAGCCCTCCTAGATATCTGCATAGCCCATCTGTGGGGCTGGAAGGATGGGGCAGGGTGAAGGGATCTGGGCTTGGAGCATGTTTTGCAAGTTTGACCCTCACAGCCACAGGAAGGTGTGAATCCCACCCACAGGCAAGGAAGCTAGCTTGGGGAAGTTGAAGAACTTGCTGAAGGTCCTCCCAGATTTGGAGGAGGAGGCAGGATCTGTCTGACTTCAAAGGTAGTGCTCTTTCTTGCACTCTGCATTGCACAAAGGAGCCAGTGGAGGTTCAAGATCAGATTCAAAGGGATGGGTATGAAAAATCATTTGTTGATTCCAAAAATTTTTTAGTAGGCACACAAACCTTGTTATTACATCTACTTTATTCACTATCCTGGTCCTCTGCTGTACACATGGCCTCTGCTGTGAGTTGATATGAGTTAAGTGAATATAAATTTATTTATCAGTGGCATCCTTTGTGTCAGGCACTGTTGTAGTAGCAGTGAAAGTCAAAACCACCAGGAACTCTGTCCTCGTAGAGCTTACATTTGAGTGAACACATGTTCTCCAGTCTTAGGTCCCTCTATAAGCTCTTCCTAAGGGGTTGGGAACTTTTCTTGTCCTGTTGCATTCTTGTAATGCTGGGTGGCCTGTCGGTTCTCTTTTAGTGTGCACTAAGTAGTCTGTGACATGCTTTGTGGTGATCATGATAGCCCACATTATTCTGTTAACTCTTGGTTTCTTCAGGGCATTATTTAGCTACTAATGGCCTCTTCAGCATGCTTCTTTCCAGGAGTCTAAAACACCCCCCAAACCTCCCTCACCTCACCTCACATAATGCTGGAATTGCCTGTTGGGTTATCTTTCCTCCTGCCCAAAACTGAAGTTCCCTGAGGGTAGAGGCTATGTCCTGCTCATTTTTGGATCCCCCTTGGGTAGCACAGCACCTGGCATGTAATGTGGCTCAATAAGTATCTGTAAAATGAATGAATCAAATAGTTCTTCAAAACTTCCTCAAACTCATTGGTATCTAGTGTGTCGAGACCGCTGTCCAGATTGTACCCAAAGTTTGTTTGTCTTTCTAGTATCCAGAATATTATCATTTCACCACTCTTGGATAAAATTCATGAATTTCCAATACTAATATCTGATTTATCTTTGAAAATAGATATTATATATGTTAACAACAACTTGCTCTATAGTGGAAAATATTTCTAAACCCATTTCTAAGCAATGATAAAACAATATTTTTGGCAGGGAATAAAGGGGGTTGTTGTGTTTTGTGCCTGTCTTTTTGTTCCAGTTATTTATTTATATTTGATAGTCCATGGCCTTGACTTGCAAGTATTTTCCTGGGAGGCATTTTTATGCCAAAGATCTATATTGCCTGTCAAACTTACAAACCTTGTTATGGCTGTCACTGACTTTGTTGGAGAATTTTAAGGTCACCTCTTTAAATAACAAGAGAAAAGTCATAGTTCCTTTCTTTCTTTTTTTTTCTCCTTAATTTAAAAATATTCCCAGACACCAACATTAATTAAAATAGGAGGTAAGAAAGTAGAAAAATCTGATATGCAGGAGATAAGGCTCAGTTAACATTATCATGTCTAGTAGGAAGCCGGTTTATTCACATATCATTGAAGCTTTAGACAACTTATTGAGCTGGATTCTGTTACTTTGGGATCAAGAAAAATGAGCCAGAGAAAAGTTGACTCTTGTCCTGAGTCACATCACTGTTGGCATGAGAATACAAACTGAAATTCTTTTAACCAAGTTCAGAAAACATCTGCCCTGAAATAGATAACAAAAATTAAAAGTATCTCCAATTTGCAAATGAATACAACTAATAAATATATGTGTGACTTTTATTTTCTTCTTCCTCTTCTTAAATTTGTCCTCCCAGATTGGCAAAGGTTAAAGCTATTGACAAGAATACATGCAAATGGGCCTCCTTGTTCACTGCCTGAAGGGATGAAAATTGGTTCAACCTTTCTAGGAAGCAATTTGGCAATATGCAGCAAAAAATTTCAGTGATGACACAATTTTACCCAACAGTTTGTTTAAGAGTTTATCTTAATTGATAAAAATCACACAAATATCTAACCATGAGCCCAAAGATGTATTGCATGATGTCTATGAAATTAAAACATTGGAAATAACCTAAATATCCCCAGTAGAAGATGGGTCAAATAAAACATGTATAAAATTAAATTGCATATGACTGCTATTAAAAATTATTTAGATCTATTTTTATTGCTATGGAAATGTGTCCCTGAAATATTGTTGTGTGAAGAAGCGGACTACAGACTAGCATGTTTACTAGGAGCCATTTGTAACATTGGACATTTTTAAGTGATATATGTTTCTCAGAGAGCTCTTTGCCAAATGTTAATGATGTTTTTACTCTGGGCTGTGGTATTTGGGAGATCTTTACTTTCTTTCAACTTTCATGTCTTTGAAAATTTGATAATGAGCATGTATCATTTTTATTTTCAGAAAAGAATAAAGCTATTTTTATTTTGGAAAAATAAATCATTCTCTACCCTTCTACATTTGCATGGCTTTTTGCTTTCTTGTACCCTTGGTCAGCAACTAGTAATAATGCTTCTGTTCCATTGTCCTTTATTATTTTTATCTTCCTACCTGGCGACTGCAGCTATCAGATGGATTTGTCTGGTGTCCCCTGAGGTAGCTGTAACAGCACAAATGAAAAAGCAATCTAAGTCAAAAAATCAGACAAGCTGAAATACAGAACAGAGAACAGATCATGGTGCACAACTAAGGGCATTTTATAATTAAATATTGGCTGATCTTGGTCAAAAACATCTTTTAAAAGTTAAACTTAAAATTCATCCTTACAAATCAGGACTTCAAGGAGTTGCCTACAGTTAAGTGAGAAGATCTTTGGGGAGATAAATTTTCCACCATGAAGTATGGACTCTCCAGACTTGTGCTCCACCATCCATTTTTAGCCTACATAAAATTTTTAACTTGCTGAATTTAGTAGACTCTGGGCTGTCATTATCAGCTGGAAATAAAACTTAAAACAGTGCAGAGAGTGTGACTGAATACAATGCTTTTCTGTAGCAGGTAGAGACGGAGCCTATGCAACACTGCTAATGGGATCCACAGTAATGCATTAATTATAAAGGGAAATAGCAAAGTATACACCAGGGTAAAATACCAGTTCTAATGAGTTCTATCTGGAGGGACTGTTTTGTGGACATAACTAAGCTACACAGTGTGTAAATATGACAAAAACACTTCCAAGGCTAATCCAGCTAAAGGATAAGTAAATGCCAGGTTTTTAAGAGCATAACATACCCACAAATTTTGTTCTTTTATACCAAATTAAAGTATTAGTGCTATTTTGTGTTTCTTGGAAGGGAAATTCCATACCAGTTGTACCATCACTGCAGAGACTTCAGTAAGAGAGAAGGTTAGGAAATTTAATTTATATACAGTGTGAAATGGAACCATTCTAAACAGCATGTTCAGGTACAAATTATCTCTGGTTGTCATAATCTTCTGGGTTCCATTATTCACTAATGATAATTTCATGTCATTCTGAAACTATACAGCCTAATTATCGTGCAATTGCTAAACCATTAAATGCTGAATCTTATGACATTTCTTTTTCTTTTGTGATGATAACTCAGGATTTTCAAAAAGAGCTGCACTGATAGCCAAGGGTAAATATTAATCTATGACCTTTTATTGTTTTTATTTTGTGTACCCTGGAGGAAAAATTTAAGATTCTAGCATGCTTATGAATCCAAATATACATGTTTATATTAACTCACTGGCAGCTCTGATGCTATTGCCTGAGACAGGAGGCAGAGCAATCCCTGACACTTTCATTATGCATTTGTCTAGCAGTTTGAAGAGAGTAAAATAATTTATGTGATTACTTATACCTACCTGGCCATTAAGATGTATTTCCCTAATAAAAAAGTTATCATTCTGTTTTAGAAGATGTGTTCTGACATGTTCCCATCTTTCTGTCTACCTCATATCCTGGCTTTATCATTCTTGATTTCAATAGTTATTTGAATGAATCAAGTAGCACCATTGCCTCGTGGTTAAAATGTCTCATCAATTTCAACAAAACAAGCTTTCCATTTCACTTTAGTTCTTGTTCCTAAGGCCACCCTCTAGACCTCATTGCCACCTGCAACTGCTGCACATCAGAAATAATGTTATGTTGTTTTTTACTTTATAAAGACATCCTGTTATTCAGTCTTTCTATTTTTTTTCTGATCTATCAACTACCATCTTAATCTACTCCATGTTTTTCTTTGCCTTGGCTAGGAAAGGATTCACCTGTACCCATAACTGTGCTGTCAGGGATGTAGAACCCCTATTAAGTATTGCAAATAGAAGAAATTTCCCTTCGGGAATAATGCCAGCTCATGAATTCAGAACTGATTTCTACTGTTGGCAGTTAGACACACAGCCCTGGTCACCACATCAGTCAGCTCTGAGGTGGAAAAGCCCACTTATAACTTTTATCCCTGTTACCATGACCACTATGGATCACTTACCCTAGAATCACTCATTCTGGCACTGAATCATGAGTTGTTTTGAACAGTATTGTCTTGTGTGCCTTTGCGTTACCTAGTGCTCATGGAAGAATTCTGCAAACAATAAGAATTCTGCATTCCATAAGTATTACATTGCTGGTGAAATGGTTGAAGGAAAGACAAGGTAAATTCCAAGTAGGCTTTGGAAGACTGGAATGATGCGGAAACAAAGGAAATGTTGCTTGATCTTAAGTATTTCTCTCAAGGAGACTTAAGATTGTCTCATGTACTGGAGAAATAACTTCTTTCAAGGAGATCATGATGTTTGAGGTTGCTTAGCCAAGACATTTGCTCCTTGGACAGGGTCTAGAATCACCTTCAATTTCGCTGCTCAAACTCCGTTTTCTGTGCAGTTGTGGTCAAGCAAGATCTCTGCCTGAAAAGGATCCAGAGAATTTTTGTTAAATATCTGAGCATTATTTTATATTCATAATTAAGTTACCCTTTTTATATACCTTGATGCTCTTTTGGTTTACTCCTGTTCACATGTATTGTGTATGGATTTAACTAATTTAACTCCAAGTTCAACTGGATTTCCACCTAATTGCCAACCCTGTTTAATGACAAAGAGATCTAAAGGGATTGAGTGACCAATCAACATTTATAGCTTGTCAGTAAAATAGACAGGAATTCAACTCTGGTCTTCTTTCCATTATACTTTTCTAGGTGGAAATACCTAATAATTATTCAGGTAAACTAGTTTTTAACATTTTTTTTCAAGTGGCTTAAAACACGCACATACTTTGACAGATTATTGATACATCTATGAATTTATCCTATGGAAATAAGCATAAAAGGTTAAAAATAAATAGTTAAAAGAATGTTTATTACTGCAATTTTACAATAGTAAATAGTTGAAAAGAACCTAAAAATGTCTAACAATAGGAAATGTATTAAATATAACTAAATATAGTTATTAATATAATGTTCTGCAAGATTGTTCACCCTAGATTGCTAAGTGGTAAAAAGCAGGTTACTTGACATTAAGGAAAATAGCATCCATTTTTTGCAAAAATAAAATGCATGGATGCATAATAAAGATGAGAATAAAATAAATGTATCTCAAAGAAAGCATATGTTAGAATTAAAATGATGTCCCCTTTCTTTTTGGCTTACCTATATTTTTCCAAATTTTACACAATGAGAATGTATTACTTTAATTTAAAAATGACTGTCACTACAAGAATCTTATTTGATGGGATTTGGGTAGATAATAAAAACCACATACGAACAATATATCAGTATTTTCATTATGTAGCTTTCTTATGTAAGAAAGCTGCTTTTATCTCTCTACTTAACATATTATTAATTTCCTGTAGTGATATTCCACTGCTGTAGCTCTTTAAACTTATTAATTGCCTGTATTTCTATCCATAAAAATGCAGACAAGGCTTTTTTCTTGTTCTCTGGGAGAGATTATTGTAAGATATTGAGGATAACGACCCCTAAGCAAGTATTCAAGGAATAGCTTAATTTGTTAAGGTACTACAGCAATGTGATAATAATTATGATTTTGTTTCCAGTGTGGGAGAGTAAGCTGTGTGCTAAAGCCACAGACTGTACCTCTTCATAGTTCACCCTGTTCAAATGCCACAATGATTGGAATGGAGAACCGGAGAAAACATGGGAGGATCGTTCTGAAATGTCTTTCCCCTTGTCAATCAGCAACACTGTACTGGTCAATTTTTTTTTTCACCGCTGTGACTAAAAGACTTGATCAGAACAATTGTAGAGAAGGAAAAGTTTATTTATCGACTTAAGTTTCAGAGGACTCAATCCATAGACAGCAGGCTCCATTCCTCTGGGGTTGAGATGAGGCAGAACATCATGGCGGAAGAGTGTGGTGGAGGAAAGCAGATCACATGATGATCAGTAAGCAGAGAGAAAGACTCCATTTGTCAGATACAAAGTATATACCATAAAGGCACATCCCCAATGCCCACCTTCTCTAGCCACACTCTACTGGCCTTTAGTTCCCACCCAGTTAATTCTATCAGGGGATTAATTCAGTGATTGGATAAAGGCTCTCAGCCTGATCATTTCTCCTCTGAACCTTCCTGCATTGTCTGACAGATGAGCTTTTGGGGGATACCTCACATCTAAACCATAACAAAAACCATGCTTGTGTGTGAAGTACGGCTGCAGTTGGATCAGGGATGCTAACATTTAATTTAAATTCAATTAAATTTCTAATTTAATTTCTAAATTCAAGGAATACAAAGCCAGTGTAATTAAAAGTAATGAAATGCAAAATTCTCTGGTTAGGTATTTGTTCTCCTATTCTGATCATCATACCCTTCTCTTTCCTCCAGGGTTTATTTGCTTGTTTCTGACCTCCTTCCCAGACATTTCTACTCTGTTCAGCGGATTGTTCATTTGTTTGCAAAGAAACCATTCATTTTCAGCCTGCTCGATGACATTTCACCCTTTTCATTATCTTAGCAAAACCTAGCTCTCACCCAAAAGATGCTGTTAGCTTCCTTTACAACTCTGCTGAAAGGTGCACATTCTTCCATAAGCTTGACACTTACAGATTTGACAGGAAGGGTCAGATCCCCCTAGCTCCATGCTATTGATTCTCTACCACTGGTCTCCTATCCCAGGGCTGGCTTCACTAGTGCAGTCTCACAGACTCCTGAAATTCTTGGGGTTTAATGCTTTGCGGTTGCCATCTTGAAATTCTCAACAATTCTTGTGGGCTGAATTACATATCCCCCAAAATTCATATGTTGAAGTCCACACCTTTCACTAATTAAGAATACTGTGACTGTATTTGAACATAGTATCTTTAAAGAGATAATTAGGTTCAACAAGGTCTTTGTGGTGAGTTCTAATTCACTGACTGGTGTCCTTAAGAGATGAAAACAGACTGCACAGAGAAAAGACTGTGCAAAGACAGAGGGGCAGTACATGATGCTTTGCTGCAAGGTAATATAATGATTGAATGTTCTCATTTGTGTTTTTTAA